ACACACACACACACACACACACACACACACACACACACACACACACACACACACACACACACACACACACACACACACACACACACACACACACACACACACACACACACACACACACACACACACACACACACACTCACACACACACACACACACTCACACACACACACACACACTCACACACACACACACACACACTCACACACACACACTCACACACACACACACACACTCACACACACACACGCACGTACACCCATCAGTTAGCTTGAAATTTTGATTTGCTGTGCAAGTTATTTGATTGCACTTCGTGCAACGCATTTTGCAATGTTGTGAATTGAAAATTAAACTGTCTAATAAATAATTTAGAGCATGAAACCCATAACTGTGACGCCCACGTCCAAGTCAGTTAATCCAATGTGTGTATGTGTGTGTGTGTGTGTGTGTGTGTAGTATGTCTGCTTCCGGTGCCGAAAGTTAGGTGTATGTATGTGTGGTCGGTTGGCTGCGGTTAGCTGTTGTCTAAATTAAATTATAGCTGACACCACATGGACTCTTCCCCCCTTAAGGAGCACAAGGACCACGAACCGTGCTCAGCATTAGAGATGGGCGCGTGACAACACAAATACAAACAATGTTGGGGATAAGAGATTCCTAAAACATAAACAAAACAAATACAAGTAGAAACATTTTGCCTTTCCTCTATGTACATTCACAAAGGAAGCACGTGCTTCCTCTTCACCTTGCCGCAGACTATGTCTAGGAATTGCATCCTCAATTAACTTCGGTGTTTAAAGTCCGATTTTTATGAAATTTTCAGTGCTTTAATATGGGCTCTTAAAGTCTTCGAGCTATGCCTTAAAAAAACCGTGTGCGAGATCGATATTTACCAATATTTTTTAAATGACGAGAATCTTCGATAAGGGTTTGAAAAAAAGAACCGAGTCGTTTATCGATACTTATCGATGTTGAGCAGATGCCTGAGTAAATAACTTACAAATATACTTGATCTCACGTACTTCTAAACTCTGAAATTGTTGCGCAGTAGAAGACTCTTCTTTTAAATAAATAAAGAGAATTAAATTTCAATTTCAGATCTTCCTCAAGATTCAAATTAAGATCTAGATTACGTTCAGTCGAGTAAGAAAACAGAGCTGAACACGCTCGCAGCTCCAACTTAAATTTCTTACACAAAAGACGTGCATCTGATGTGACACGAAGCTCAACACGTGCCCATCTCCAATGAGTATCAGCTGGCCGTTAGGAGCGCGTGTTCGTTTCCATATAGAAAAACCTAAGACAAGACACGAATGCACGAACACGACAAACACGCATCTCTAAGCAAAGGTCATCAGTCGTGCCAGTTCGTGTTACGAATGAGTGCACAACTCACGCGAACCATTTATCTTTACACTCGATTCGAAGGTCGTGTCGGTTAGCCTGTTATTTGTCCGACAGGACAAATAGAAAAACCTAAGACAAGACACGAAGACACGTGTCACGAGGCACACCTGATACCAAATTCGTGTCTGGTGCGTGTCACGTAAAAATCAACTGAAATCTATTCGATTTCAATTACGATAGTGTACACGTGACACGCGCTCATCCCTAAGCAATTGTATGGTTAGCCCGTTATTTGTCGGTGCCCAGGTGAATTGGCGGCTTGCATTTTTCTACCAACCTTTATGCCCTTACAGAGGGTATTCGAATTATCTGAGAAAGTGTGCATGGAAGGCAATCGAAGCCAACGGGCATATTTCTATATAAGAATATGAAGACACGAGTCGATTTGGCTGTGCGGCTCGCTCTGTGAGTTGAAGTCAGATAGATCGTACGACTATAGCATATAGCTTGCATAGAAACAATCAAACAACTGAACTCTTTCCCTATAAAAATATTCCTTGTGTTTTTTTAAGATATCTCAAGCAAGCTTGGAACAAGCTAAACTGTATGACTCTCACATTGTTTAAATTAAGACATTTGTTGTTTTGCCAGAAACTGCGTCGGACTGACAAGCGAAGGGTCGCTGGTTCAAATTGAGACCTTGCCAGGGCATTGATTATTCGGCGTGCCAAGGAGATCTTTGCAGAGCAGCAGCTCTTTTTGTTTGTGTTTTTTAGTCCTAAAATTGTTGTGCAAAATTTATAAGTAAATTGCTTTTTATTTTGTGCAAAGTAAAACCACTGAAAAGCTGTTTAGTCTCTCGCGAAGTGTTAGCAAAATACTTTCAGCGGCTTGTAGTTGCGTTCGGGTTTAGTTACTCGCATTCCATGGCAACGGACGGATGCAGGCCGGCTGCCTGGGGGGCAGGCAGGGTTAGCTAACTGCCAGACTGCTTGCCAGGTATGCCCAGCCCCAGCCCCAGCCCCAGCCCCAGCCCCAGACCAGCTCCCTCATCCCGCTCCTCCTCCGGCCTCGACTAGCTCAGCTACACCTTAACCGGGCAAGGTAGGGGTCAGGGGTGTGGCGCAACCGCGCAATGTGCCCGCCATGCAAGTATTTTGCGTTATTTTTTTTTTGTTTTTGTTAAGCTTGTGTTTGTGTTGAGCTCTGGAGCTGACGTTAAAAGGTTTATCCCATTGAAGTTTCTGTTACAGCACAGCGTGCAAAATTAAAGCCAACGGATTAAGTGATGCACTATCCCTTGCCAGCAAAGTAACACAAGAAATTTCAGTTTTCACCCCACCGCCTCCCCCTTCATCAGCCCAGCAACACTTCAAGTGCTCCAAATCAAATGGGTTAAATCTGTTTGGTAATTGCAACTGGTTGCCTGGGAAAGGAATCACCGTTTAGATGTGAAGTCCAGTCAGCCTACACAAAAAAAAACAAGTAAGAGGTTCTAGTCGGGAGCTCCCGACTAGGGGATACCCTGAACCCTCTTCTTCCAACATCAAATGCATATAAATATTCTATTTAAGAAGCTATATGTCAAGTTTGGTGCCTCTAGTTCTTATTATTTACCAGAATTGCCCAAAAAACAGGATATCGATATCGATTTTTATCGATTGCTTGGAAACGGAGTAAGTTATCGATTATCGGAAACAAACTTGATCTGCGCGGGAGCTAGGAGCACCTACATCTAAAATTTCAAGTCTCTAGCTCTTATAGGTTCTGAGATCCTTGCGTTCATACATACGGACGGACGGACAGACAGACGGACATGGCTAGATCGGCTCGGCTATTGATGTTGATCAAGAATATATATACTTTATGGGGTCGGAGAAGCTTCCTTTTGCCTGTTACATACATTTGCATTTTGCAAATGTACCCATTTTTAATGGGTACAGGGTATAAAAAAAAAAGAACAAAAGGAAACGGCTAACTTCGGCACGGCGAAGACTAAATACCCTTGCAAACAAATGAAACTCGTAATTGCAGAGTAAGGTTAAATTAGCTTGAAGACACACGATAGTTTTCGAACTAATAAATTCGGCATGCCAAAGATTTAATACCCTCGTCAGCATTTGCGTTTCGGTTACGGATATGTGAGCAAACAAAATATTTTGTCATAAGGAAACTCATTTTTAAACTGATTCTTCCTACAGAGCTTTATAATATAGTAGTGCCATCTTGATAAGACTTGGCAGATATATAAGCAGCATAATTTAAAAAATAATTGCTGGCGTTGGTCAAGATATCTTGATAAACACAAAAGTTTCTCATACAAGAACTCGGTTTTCGACCGATCGTTCCAATGGCAGCTATGCTATATAGTAGTTCGATGTTGTTAAGATTTTGCATATATATGACGAGCATAGTAAAACTCATATATGCCGAGTTTGGTCAAGATACCTTGAGAAACATAAAAGTTTCCCGTACAAGAACCTACTTATCGACCGATCGTTCCTATGGCAGCTATATGATATAGTAGTCCGATATTGTTAAGATTTTGCATATATATGAGGATCATAGTACAACTTAGATATGCCGAGTTTGGTCAAGATACCTTGAGAAACACAAGTTTCCCGTACAAGAACCTACTTATCGACCGATCGTTCCTATGGCAGCTATATGATATAGTAGTCCGATGTCAAAAAGGTTTGGTATATATATGAGTAGAAAAGTGAAACTAATTAATGTAAAAGTTGGTTAAGATACCATAGAAAACAAAAAAGTTTCCCGTACAAGAGCCTACTTATCAACCGATTGTTCCTATGGCATCTATATGCTGTAGTAGTCTGATTTCGACAAGATTTTGCATATATGTAGAGAGCATGGTAAAACTTCTAAATGCCGAATTTGGTCAAGATAGCTTTAAAAACACAATAGTTTTCCATACAAGAGCTGAATTTTCAAGCAATCGTTCCTATGACAGCTATATGACATAGTAGTCCGATAAAAAAAAACATTTGGTATATATATGAGGAGCAAAGTGAAACCTATAAATGTCCAGTTTGGTCAAGATATCTTAATAAACAAAAAAGTTTTCCATACAAAAACTGAACTTTCGACCGATCATTCCTATGGCAGCTATACGATATAGCGGTACGATCCGACCGGTTTCGATTTATGTAGCAAAAACACGGACATATGCAAAACTGAGAGGCTAGTTTGCATAGGAACAGACAGACGGACAAAAAAGTTGTTCATACAAGAACTTAATTGAATTATGCCGGATGACCAAACTTTCCAAATATATCACGGAACTTATCATCATCATCATTTATCGTACTATCCTAACAAAACCTTTTGAGAATCGGACCACGCTACAGTTCAGAAATAAAGTTTTAAGTATTAAAAACGATTTTAAGTACTGAAGTTTACCCGAAATCTGATATATTCGAGGTTGACTGTGCTCTCTTTTTGCACAGAGAAACTAATTTGAACATTTTTGAAATGTTTAGGTAAAAACTTTTCGCTACTTACAGGCTCTGTTCCGCTTTTAATGCAGCTATCGAGCACAGATCCATACCTAAGATTTACAAAATGGTGAAATTAATAATTTGTCAAAATGTCGTGTGGAAAACAAAAACGGCTATTTGTGAGTTAAACAAGTTATGGACGGGTTAGAGTACACACAGGGATAATTTTGGCTAAAAATAACATAAATATCTATGTGGGATGACGGACACGTTTGTATGTAGGAATATATACATACACATAATGTACATAAAACAAAATCTAATTGAATCATTTTTTGCGCTTCTTAGGCTTGGCTTCTTGTTGGGACCTATCCTGAAACTGCGGCAAGTCCGCACAGAATAGAACCTGCAAAAAAATATTGAAGAAACGGTTCTTAATATTGTTAATCCTATTTTACCGGCCGTTACTCACCGTTTGCGCCCAGCCGGCGTATTTGCCATGCAGCTGCTGAAAATGCTGCGCCACCTCAGCATAGATTTTGCTGGTCACGCTCTTCTGGGTGGCCAGGTGGGGCAGGTAATGGCGCTGCGCTAGCTTAAAAATGTGCGTATCAATGGGCACCGCCTCCAGATGGCCCAGCGACATGAGGCAGATGCAATCGGCCACCTTGTAGCCAATGCCGGGCAGCTGTACCAAAGCCTCGCGCGCCTCAGCGTAGGGCAACTGACGCAGCTGCTCGAACCAGTCATTGCCGCCAAGCGCCTGAATCTGCGACAGCGAACGGGCTATGAACTTGGCACGATAGCCAAACTTGGCGGCACGCAGCTCCGCATCCAGCTCGCTGCAGCTGCGTTCGCTGAGCGCTTTGAGTGTGGGAAACGTGTACTCATCCTGCCCATGAAAGTGTCCAATTTTGTGTCCGTAGGCGGCGCAAAACCATTGAATCATGGCGGATATCCTAAAAGATCAGAGAGAGAGATGAATGCCAATTGGACACCAGCTGGGTTTAAATATGCATATATATCACCCTTGGCGAGTTAAAGGACTTGCCTACCGTTTTATATTGTTGTTTTGGCTGCACATGAAGCAAACAATGTTCTCCAGCGGCTCCTGTGACAGCATGCGCACCGGCTTGCCCACAAATTTGCCAAAATGCTCATCCGCTTGCATCCAGCCGGCCTGCTCCGACTCCAAGTCGAAATCGGCCCGCAGATAGTCGCTCAACAATGAGCCGAAATTGTGTTCACGTTGGGTGCCCGCTGCATGTGCTTCATAAACAATATGCTCGTCCTCGGGCCGCAGCACCCAGTAGGTGTTCAAGGCGACGCCGCAATATTTGACTTTGGGCTCAGCGCACAATTTGCGCCAGCTGAAAAGCGCATTTAGCTAACTAATTGCGTGCGAAAAATGTGTTTATATACGCACCGAAAACTTTGCCCGCCCAGTAGGGTACGCTCCAGATCGCATATCCTGGCTTTTAAGCGTATTATGCCGCTTTGTTTTACGGCTTTTGTCATTTGTGTGTTCAAACTGTAAATTGAAATGAAAAAGCGCGAACAGCTGTAAAAATGCCGATAAGTTCTAGCACAGCCGGCGTGGGTGTGCTTTCGATAACTTTCTTGCGATAACAATACGACACTGGTTGCGTGTATCGATACTTGTGGCAAGCCTTAACAGGCTTTAACACTTAAATTGTTCATTTTAAGAACTTTTTATTCTTCTGATATGCATGTTTCTGTGTGTTGAGAAAGACCCAAAGCAAATGCAGTTTGCATTTCTGTTAACAACTGTAAAGTTAAATTTAAGTCATGTATAGAAGAAGGGAAACAGAGCCAAAAGGCAAGGCATACCAAAGGGTTAACTATCGCGCAAAAGTACTCGTACAGCGTGTGTCTGGCGTATGCCTTCAAATTCAGCGGGGAGCTCGTGCACGTGTCACGCGGCCATCTCTAGTTTGAATTCACACAGTTACATGGAAATCAAAGTTATTTAGTGTTTAAAATAAATAGCAAAGCAGCAGCAGCAGCAGCAGGCTTACACATATACGAAACAGGGACTTAGAGGCATTAACCTTAGAAGGGCTACTCAAGCACACGCCACAAACACACAATATTATGTCAGGCAGCATCAACAATTACAAGACTCTAATGTAAGTGCAACTCGTTAACTTGCAACGCCCGCCACAAAACTAATGCACGCACTCTTGCCCACAACTCGAAAACAACAAAAAACAAATAAACAAAGGCATGCAACGAATCGTGGTTACGGCGAACAGACGCAAGCACAGGCAGAGGCCATCGAACACATGCAAACAATGCCGCAGCTAATCGGAGATCCCGGCGTGCAGCTGGTTAACAGGTAGGTGGAAGGAAGCCAGTCAAGCTGCATTCACTGATTCCACTTATATAAATATGTGCCTTAGCCTCGAGGACCGCGACAAGGCAATTGTGGACAACATAAATGCGGATCAGAATGCGGTCACACATCTGAAGTACATGAATTCGGAGCGCGATCTGTCGCTGCCGCTGGAGAAGCAGACCAAAGCGCTGGACAAGTATCTGGACAGCCAGGAGGATGGTTAGCTTATGGTGGCTGCTGTCAACTTCATCACATGCCTAACTATGTCGTTCTTTGGCCCATCCACAGAGGTGTCGCTGCGCAAGTATCTGGTCTTTGGCGTCCAATGGGTCTCGCTGGTCACCGAGAATCTGCTCAGCCATCCGTTCATTGTGCTGCGACGCCAGTGTCAGGTCTATAATGCATCGCAGCGCTATCATTTGCATCCATTTCAATTGCTGCCCAGCATTGTGCATCTGCATCGACGACAGGGCGTCACCACGTTATGGAAGGGCCTCGGCAGCTGTCTGCTGGTGCGCGGCATGACACTGGCCATAGACGATGTCATCTGCAAGGTGACCAGCTGGCCGAAGGACGTGGATAGCCGCACCACACTCAAACGTTTTGGCCAGCATATACTGCTGAAATGGCAAGTGCCATCCAGTGCATCCTCCATATATATCTACATATATATATATATATATTAATTGATATTTATGTATTTATTGTGCAGCATCAGCATTGGCCTGGTGGTGCCCTTCTATGCCGCCTCGCTGGTGGAGACGGTGCAAAGTGATATTGCCAGCGAGAAGCCCGGCCTATTGGATGTCTTTCGCGAGGGCAGTCTACGTTTGTTCTACTGGAGCTCACCGCAAAAGGGACGCATGCTGCCCGCCTGGGCGCTGATTGGACCCAGCGTCTCCATGGGCATAACCAAATATCTGTTCAGTCTGGTCATACGTGGCGTCTCCTCGCGCATTATGCGACGTCGCCTGATCGTCAAGCAGGAGCAGCGCGGCGCCAAATTTCGCGATGATACGCTCGAGCATCAGAATGCCGAAATCTATGCGAGCCTCATTGCCATGCTGACCACAGAGGTGCTGTTCTTTCCGTTCGAGACCATACTGCATCGCCTGCAGCTGCAGGGCACGCGCACCATTATTGATAATCTGGACAATGGTTATGCTGTGGTGCCCATATTGACCAACTATCAGGGCGCAATTGATTGCTATCGCACCACCATGCTGACGGAGGGCGTGGGTGGCCTTTATAAGGGTTTTGGTGCGATGATATTACAATTTGCCGCCCATGTGGCTGTTATTAAATTGACCAAATGGATTGTCGGACAAATTACGGAAGTTATCTCGAATCGGCCGCCAGCACGAATTGTACAATATTATAATCTGGATCGCGGTGCTGGCAATTCAAATTCAACAACCATATCGCCGAGCATCTCAAGCACCGAACTGGATGTGCACAGCGTGGGACAGAATTCGCTTGATTAGCTTTAGGCTTGATTTGATTTCCAATTTTTAATGCCCAACACATATTCTTCTCTACAAAATTTCATGTATTGCCATTAGGAACGGCAGTTAGGCTCTCCTTCTCTGTAGGCTATCATATATTTCACATGAGAGTCGGGCAACAATATTTATTTCTATTATTATTCTTCTTTCTTTTCTTACTTACTTCGCTTTTCTGTTTCATTTTGCTGTGATAACTTCCGCGCTCGCCCAAGCAGCGAGTCTTGTGTTTCATCATTTTTGTTCTCTCTCTCTCTCTGTTTTCGTCCAAACGCGAACAACCAGCTTACAAATTAGCCAAGCATGTTATATTAATTGAGAACTGAGCGAACAGCTATTGTTTTACACGGCATATCTTTTGGTTATTGCCAAACTAGTGACATTGTAATTAGATCTTTAACAACAACAACAACAACAAATTATTAACAAAATCCTTTAAAATGTAAGAGTGTAAAAGCGCAATTAAAAAAAGTGTTGCTTTAATGATACAAAATGTTCACTTTCTATATTGTTGAGCTCTAAGCTTTATTTGTGTGTGTTTCCCAATTGGAATTCATAATCAGATCTGCTCGAAGATCCGATCTGTTGTTCGTTTATAGATTTTAATAAATGTTACCAAGCCTTAACCCGAATCAAAACATCTTTATAAGCCCGCAAAACTGTACACCTAAAAATATTTAGTTAGTTTCTGAGCTTTTGTTCAAGTGTATATAAAACTTATTTGTAGGCCTACATATAATTATTTCATTTATTTTGAAATGAATCCACCCATTTCGTGAGAATGTGGAAAAATGATTCGAAATTTCATGGATTTTAATAAAAATGGTTGCTTCCAGCAAATGTGCAAAAAGCATGTTCGCCAAATAAACAAAAAAGTGAGGTTAATTTTTCGAACAAAAAAGTGAGGTTAACTTTTTGAACAAGAAAGTGAGGTTAACTTTTCGAACAAAAAAGTGAGGTTACCTTTTTAAACAAAAAAAGTGAGGTTAACTTTTCAAACAAAAAATTGAGGTTAATTTGGCTCACATTGTCAGAAAAGTAACAACATCTGTGGGTTGTAGACAGTTAAAACGAACTTCGTTTCATTTGTTTTGTTTATCTAGGGTATTTTCAAAGTTCTATACATATAGTACAACAAAAAGTGTGTAAAACGAGCTTATGGCTAGGCGGCACTGATTACTCTGGCTTGTAGGTGATGGTCTCATCCTTGAAGTTGTGCACCTGATCATACCAGATGTCCTCCGGCGCATCGTCCTCCGTTTCGTAGAGCGTGGGAAATGGCGGCGAATCCTTGGGCTTGCGCAAAGGCAGAACTGTGTCGTAGATGTAGACCAGACCGTTTGTGGAGCCGGGCACAGCGCTGCCCTGCACCCACATCACATTGTACTTGGTGTTGATGCGCCAAATGCGCAGGCCCTTGATAATGCGCCAGCGATTGCCCATATGACCGGGCATCTTGGTGCCCGGCCAGACGCGACCCTTCTCACCGCCGCCGCCAATGTTGCCGGGACGGCGATGCGTCTTGGTCACGCCATGTGATGCCGGCATGCCCTTGAAGCCGTGCCGCTTGACCACGCCCTGGAAGCCATGATCCACGCTGCAAATGGCAAATGGATAACATGAAGATTCAAATAATGCTTGATACACTCACGTCTTGCCGCGCACATCGACGAATTCGCCCACCCGAAAGTGGCCGACATTTAGTGGTGTGCCTGGCGCCAGAGCCGCCTGCGGTGAGACTATGAAACGCGCCAAATTCTTTGTGGGCATAACGCCCGAGTCCCGAAAGATGCCGCAATACTCTTTGGTCAACAGCGCCGGATTTGTGCTCTCCGCGCCGACCAGCACGCAGCCGTATCTATCCAAATGCTTGACGCTGGGTCGCTGTGCGGGCGTATATTCGCCGGGCGGTATATATTTGACCACATGATTGTCCACCACCTGCAAGAGTGTGGTGCGCACACGTTCGCCATTCTTTAGCCACAGTGGATATTGGCCAATCTTGCGGGCAATGAGACCGCAGCGACGCACGGCCGGCGTCCACGGCTCGATGTCTGTGGGCGCCACGGGCGTCTTGATCAGTTGCTTCTGTTCGTAGGTCTGTATGCCCTTGATGAGAGCCGGTTTGCCGTACGTATCATGCACCACCTCCTTGATAAAGCTGCGATTCTCGCCCGTGACCAGATCGTCCGTTCGCTGCAAGGCAGACGCTTACTTAGTTAAGGTATTCTGACAGAGTTGGTTTGGGCCACACATACCGTGCGCTCCTTGCGTATAAACCAATACGGATTCCTCAAGCGTGGCCGGCTTAGATGTCCCTTTTCGCGCACTTGTGTAACCAAAACGGCGGCCGGGCTGGCGCTGCCACTCAGCCTGGAAATATAGGTTAGAAATGCGCAGAGCATCATCAATTGACATTTGTACAGACCGTAGGCGAGCTAAATCGCAGATAACAGTGCGCAGCATATTAATTATATAATTTTTTAATACAAAAATCAACTTAAATACATAAATAACAATATGCAGCGCACAGCTAGAGCCTAGTGATGTGCAGCTACAGTCGAAAAGTATCGTTGAAATAGGTATCGACATGCCAAAACTATCGATGCTGCCAAAGCCGACAGCAAACATTTTTAAATGTAATTACTTGTGGTTATCTATGCGCAATTGTATTGTCTTATTTAATATTTAGACATTTTCAAATTAATAGAAATCGAACGCAAATATATCGATAGCATGAAGATGATGGCAGCGCTGTCAGCTGTTTGCCATCTGGCAACGCCAACCCATCAAAAGCAACTTTAAACACGTGCATCGCGCTGGTGGCGGCGTGTTCTGTTTCTGTTGTCATTTAACTTAGTTTAATTTGATTTGATTTGATTGGACAACAGCAAAATGGGCAAGAAAACGAAAGTTGGAAAGACGCGCAAGGATAAGTTCTATCAGCTGGCCAAGGAGACGGGCTTTCGATCGCGTGCCGCCTTCAAGCTAATCCAGCTGAATCGCAAATTTGGTTTCCTGCAACAGTCGCAGGTATGCATCGATCTGTGCGCCGCACCTGGCGGCTGGATGCAGGTGGCCAAACAGAATATGCCCGTATCGAGCATTGTCATTGGCGTCGATCTGTTCCCCATACGCCCCATTGCGGGCTGCATCGGCCTCGTCGAGGACATCACAACGGAAAAGTGCCGCCAATCGCTGACCAAGGAGCTGCAATCGTGGAAGGTCGATGTCGTGCTGCACGACGGTGCCCCAAACGTGGGCCGCAACTGGCTGTACGATGCCTATCAGCAGATCTGTCTCACACTGAACGCCCTCAAGCTGGGCACACATTTTCTGCGCGGCGGCGGCTGGTTTGTGACCAAAGTGTTCCGCTCCAAGGACTACAATGCCCTGCTCTGGGTGCTCAAGCAGCTGTTCAAGAAGGTGCATGCCACAAAGCCGAGCGCCTCGCGTAAGGAGTCTGCCGAAATCTTTGTTGTTTGCCAGGGCTATTTGGCGCCGGATCGCATCGATCCGCGCCTGCTGGACGCCAAATATGTGTTCGAGGAGCTGGATCTGGAGGGCAAGCAAAAGAACAGTCTGCTGCATCCGGAGAAGCAGAAACGCATCAAGGCCGAGGGCTATACGGAACAGGATATTGCGCTGCGCAACGATTTGGCCGCCTCGGAGTTCATGCAGGCGGAGAATGCATTGGCCGCTCTGCAGGGCATTGGCTCCATACGCATCGATGATGAGCGCATAGCCAAGCACAAGCGGACCACCAGTGAGATACTCGAGTGCTGCAAGGATCTCAAGGTGCTGGGTCGCAAGGACATCAAGGGTCTGCTGCTCTGGTGGAAGCACATCAAGCAGGAGCTGTTCCAGTCCGAAGCGGAGGGCGTCATCGAGGAGCCAGAGGCCGAACAGCCGGCCGAGCCGCTCACCCAGGACCAAATCGAGGACATGGAGGATGCCGAGCTGCAGCAACAAATCGAAAGCCTCGCCACCGAGGAGCAAAAGGAGCTGAAGCGCAAACGCAAAAAGACGCTCAAATCGAAGGCCAAGCTGCACGAGAAAATGAACCTCAACATGGTCATCAAGGGCGACGACGGACCCGTCGAGGAGACCGAGCACGAGATCTTCGATCTGAAGGGCATCAACAGCGTCAGCGAGCTGGACGCCATGCTCGATGTGCAGCCCGATTTCGATGTGGACGGCGACGCCGTGGAGACACCCAAGCTGCCCAAATACAAGAAATACGACAAGGACGACAAACGCATGGACGATGATGCCAACTACGAGAACGATGACGAGCCCGAGGTGAGCGCCGACGAGGACAGCGACAGCGACTATGAGCAGCAGGGTCTCGGCCTAAGCGACAACGAGGACGAGGAACAGCCCGAAACCAAGGGCAAGCAGAAGAAGAAACAGCGCGGCGAGCATCCGCTTATCAAATCGGGAGATTTCCGGGACAAGGACACCCGGCGACAGCAGCGCGTGGCGCTCTGGTATGAAAAGGACAATCTACAGAATATTGGCAACGAGGAGGATGACGACGAGGAGAACTATGATCTGGACAATCTGGCCAAGGCATACAAGGCCAAGGGCGTGGCCGTGCTCGGCGAGAATCGACCGGCCCTGGAGGACTACGATGCCGGCGGCACCCTGGCCCTGGGCAAGAAGGCCAAACGTCGCGCCCGTCACGATACACAGAAGGAGGACAGCAGCTCCGAGTCATCGGACTCTGATTCCGAGCAGGAAGTGGATGAGGATCAAGTAGCTGGCGACATAGCCAAAGGTGAGACTTAGAACAGAGCGATAAAATAGAAATGGGAATGAACTGATAATGAAAAAGAGTGAGAGAGAAATACGAAGAGAAGGGAGTCACATGAAGGATGCTGGTTCGAATCTCAGCGGCAAGGCCACATTAGCCAAAGCAACTGCACACTATCCACTATAAATATTAATAATTTGTATTTTCTTGCAGCACCCAAGGCGAAGAAGGTGCGCCTCAGCGAGGAGGAGCTGGCGCTGGGTGCGCTTCTGGTGCGTGGCAAGAAGACGCGCCGCGAATTGATCGATGCCGCATGGAATCGGTATGCGTTCAATGATGAGAATCTGCCGGTATGGTTTGAACAGGATGAGGCCGAGCACATGACCAAACCGCAGCCGGTGCCCAAGGAACTGACCGAGGAGTATCAGCGCAAGGTGCAGGAGCTGAATGTGCGGCCCATCAAGAAGGTGATGGAGGCGAAGGCGCGCAAGAAGCGTCGCGCCACCAAGCGTCTGGCCAAGGCCAAAAAGATGGCCGAAAAGATAATGGAGAATGCCGACGCCACCTCCCAGGAGAAGGCCAAGCAGCTGAAGAAGGTCTACAAGAAGGCCCAGGAGAAGAAGAAGGAGATCACCTATGTGGTTGCCAAAAAGCATACAGCCTCGCGTCGCGCCCGCCGTCCAGCTGGCGTCAAGGGACGCTATCGTGTTGTCGATCCGCGCGAGAAGAAGGACAAACGCTCGATTGTCGCCAAAAAGCGTCGCGAGAAGGGCAGCAAGGGGGCCAAGGGTGGCAAGGGCAAGGGCAACAAACGCAAGTAGACCAAGAAAATGCTCTACGTTACGTCTCCAGCCCCGATTGTAGCTTGTAGTCAGCTTATGTAAATGCTAATGTATAGAATAAATATATAATCTAGTGCATAATAGATTTGGAAGTTAACATCTTTGTGTTTAACATGCTCTGAATGTTAGTAACATATGTTATTAACAGCAGTTGTAATGCTGTTAATGCTGCTCTCAACAATGTTAAATTCATAAAGCTGGCACTTGCGTGTTGCTGTTAATGTTAATAACAGCACGCCATTTATGCAGGGCTTAACATATATTAGAAATTAACATTTGGATTTGGAAGTTAACATCTTTGTGTTTAACATGCTCTTAATGTTGCCAACATATGTTATTAACAGCGGTTTTAATGCTGTTAAAATGGCTCTCAAGAATGTTAAATTCATAAAGCTGGCATTTGCGTGTTGCTGTTAATGTTAATAACAGCACGCCATTTACGCAGGGCTTAACATATGTTAGAAATTAACATTTGGATTAAGAAGTTAACATCTTTGTGTTTAACATGCTCTGAATGTTAGTAATATATGTTATTAACAGCAGTTGTAATGCTGTTAAAATTGCTCTCAAGAATGTTAAATGCATAAAGCTGGCATTTGCGTGTTGCTGTTAATGTTAGTAACAGCACGCCATTTATGCAGGGCTTAACATAAGCTGCTTATGTTAAAAAGAGCAACTGTTAAAGCTGCCCTTATACTTTAACAGCCCGACTGTTAAGTAGATAGATACTGCATAAAGTGTAAAGACATTTCAGTTATAAAGCTGCAAAATCTATTTAACATGCATCAAAAAAAACATTTACATAATTATGTTAACAGATGTTGGGCGCATCTCTCAGAGCGCACTGTTAGGCTGATACTCGTAGAACTTCTCCTCGTTCTGCTCGCTAGAGCGCAGCTTGTGCTCCTTTGTGAGCTTGCTCAGATGGTGCTCAACATTGTAGGCGGCCGCGGGCCACAGCTGCTCGGGCGTCTCCTTGTACACCACCTTGACCACATCCATGGGCTGCAGGCGCTGGCCGGGACGCTGGCTAAAGAACTGCAGTATCTGCTGTTCCCGCTGATTGCGATGATTTATATAATACTCAATCTTGCCCACGGGCTCATCGATGACATTGCCATGCCCGGGATAGATGCGCTCCGGCCGTATCTTCAGTATTTTATCCAGGCTGCGCATATAGTCAAACAGATCCTCAAAGACGGCGGTGCCCTCGCCTAAAAGAACGTGACTGCGATTAAGTCGAGCGTGTGTCTCCCGTCACGGAGCCAGCCAAGACTCACCCAGTATGCAATCGCCGCTAAAGAGTGTGCCATCGTCCGTGGTAAGGACAACATGATCTGTGGTATGTCCGGGCGTATGAACAATGCGCACCTTGGCGCCATCAACGGCAAACTCCTGGCTATCCTCCAGTCGCTGCACCGATATGGGGCTGGGTATCTCCGGGCAGACATCGCTGGCATCGCTGCGCCGGAACTTGAACACCTGACAATCTGGATTGAGTCGTACTTTAATGACACACAACACAAGAAGCTAAACTTTCGGTTTATATTCAAGCTGGACCGTACGCACCCTTGTCGGCCAGCTGGGTGCCGACAATGTCCTTGACCCCGCCCACATGATCGTGATGCCAGTGGGTCAGTATGATGGTGGATATGGAGGCCTGCTCCTGGCGCAGCACACCGTTCAGATGCTCAATATACTGCGGCACATTCTCATCGCCCGTGTCTATAAGTATGCGCCTGTTGCGTGCAAATTTTACGTAAATCCCAAATAGCAATTTGAACTTTGGATACGCTCACTTTTTACCGTTGCCCAGCAGATATGTGTTTGTGCCCTGCAGTGTCATTGGGCCGGGATTGCAGCCGAGTATCCGTATTATGGAGGCGGTTAGGCGTGTCACCGGCGGTATTAGTGCCATGATGCTTCAGTGATCGGGCTTTAGCTTC